ATTTACAACACATACACTCAAAAAACAGATGTAATGGATTTAATTAAAAAATAGGATTTTTAATAGATTAAAAATTTTAATCGTGATTAAAATTTACAATCACTTTACAATGGCTGAATATGTAGGTTTGTATATTGCAATGTACTCAGTGCATGCCAGGTCATGTTTGTAAATGAGAAGTGGTTCTCAAATAGTTTACCTGGATAAAAACAGGATAAATAAAAATAATAATAAACTCCACGTGTAACACATTATATACATTTTTTGTTTTGTCTTCTTATGGCTTATTTTTTATTTATTTATTTATGTTTTTCTGACAACTGTGACCTTAGTATCTATCTTTCATTCCTCACATTGTGCTCATTTGGAATGAAAATCCTTGAATTCTTGATTTAACCATTGTTCTGCACAAAATTTAACTGACTCAAATATGTTTGGAGTATTTTTTAGGTCCTGTTTTATATTCAAAAAAATCAGGTCTAAGCACCAAATTTTGTTTCCAAATAAAAACATTAATTAATAACTCAAGTAATTTATTTTACCAATATGCAATAAAGCTTTATATTAAGTTTAAGATTAATCGTGGTTAATTGTGATTAATTCACAGCTACCTTGGAACTAATAGATTAAAAATTTGAATAATTTGACAGCCCTAGTTTAATCATAATCAACTAACTAAAGACAAAGACTTTAAATGGTTAATYGTGATTAATTCACAGCTACCTTGGAATTAATAGATTAAAAATTTGAATAATTTGACAGCCCTAGTTTAATCATAATCAACTAACTAAAGACAAAATCACACAATTTTTGAACGAACACAAGTATCAATATCGGAATCAAAACCTTATAATAAAACTAGCTATAAATAATACTATCCCTGTATGTTACTCGGTATCAAATCGAATACCATAATTCCCACTGCCCACCCCCTGGTGTTATCTGAAGATTGTAGAATCTGAGCTGGAACTCTTTGGGGAACTTGCTGACACACTGGCAGCTGTCCTAAATATTTTACACTTGGGAATATATTTTTTCTCACAATAACTAGGATTGATCCAAACAGTTTTTTCCCCATAAGTGAGTGTTGCTCAACATGATGCAACACAACAGCAAACATGCCACAATTCCATTTTTGTAATTGTTGCAGACGTCATGAACTTCAAAGWTTCAACATCTGACTTGTTGTCAACATTACCGGTTAACTGTCTCACAATGTTCAATTTAAACCTAAATAATGTRAAAACTGGAAACTGGTCATACATTACCTAAATAAATCAAATTAAAGAACATTTTTTTCCAGATTATGCAAAGAAATTATGAGACTGAAAGGTATTCAAGAACAGGTGRCAGATGTTTTCTTCAAATGTTCAGCTTATTTTTCATCTGAGGTCACAAAACRTAGAAGAAAGAAGCTTTGAGCTTCATCTCATCCACAAAAAAAAGTCTTCCTGCTAAAAAGAAAAAAGTGTTCTGGATAAAAGAGGCAGAAAGAGGAAGAGGAAAGACAGCAAAGCCAGGAGGTAAACCTGTGCAGATGTTCTGAGCTCCCAGCTGTGGGGCATGTTAAACACATCCGCACTGACCAGATCTGATGACTTTCTGTCTTTCCTTGAACTCAACTCTTTCTTCTTGCCTGTCATGTAAAAAAAAAAAAAAAAAAAAAACAGGAAGAAAATCTCTGAGTTTGTTGAAGACTCACTGTTGGGTTTGCTTCACCACCAGAGAGCTGTACATCTGGGTCCCAGTGCCGGATGATGTCAAGACAGGCGATGACCCAAAGCCCACCGCACAGAGAGTTCCTCAGAAAGGTCGGCTGAGCTCTATTTTCCCTTCCTCTGGCTACGTGACATCTTCCTGCCTCTGGGAGCCATTTGAGTAGACGTCAGTCTCCAAACGTGGAGGACTAATTTGGCTTATTCTAACAGAAACAGGTTGCAGCAGACGGAGGCCGAGGGGAGCTCAGCCCTCCGACACGCACCTTCATCTGCCTCAAAATTATCTTTCCTTTCAGCCTGCAGGGTCGTCGAGGAGCTTTCCTCTGATGTAAGGACCGAGTTTGCAGACTTATTCAGAGTGATGCCAGACAGGAACTGTGTCAGTCATCCGTTGTGTCGGAGCTGCGGTTAGCCTGGTAGAACGCTCAGTCGAGCGGCTTTTGAAGATGGACAGAAAATGTCCCGTGGAGACCGGACCACTGTTGCTATCTTTCAGTGAAAGTTATTTGGATTGACTTGGCTCTAAGAGGACTGCTCTGCAAGGGGGAACAAAAATCTTAAGAAAAGAAAATTAAGAGACTGTTTAAAATCCATCAGGCTCAAACTTCAACTATACATTTTTCACTAAATTAACAAGAAAAAATTAAAAAAAGAAGTTGCATTGCATCATTTACCATCATTCCATTTCACTTTAGAGCTCTGCTGTGACCTCTGACCTCTCACCCCATCTCTCCTTGTCCACTGGGCCCACAGCAGTGATTTATTCCTCTGACACACCAACAGCTGTGTTGGGGCTCCAAGCAGAGTGTGGGCTACTATTTGCCGTGACTAATCGGAAACAGACTTCAAAAAAACAGCAATGGTGAGATTCGGAGAGAAAAAAAACGGCAGTTAGTGACACCAGAGACCCTGAACCTTTTGCTGCTGCAGATCTAGAGGGTTCCTAAACAACAYCAGGGCTTGTAACCACGGAAATGTGTGTTTGCCAGATGCAAAACACTTTTAATGTGTCTCAAATTATGATTTTGATTGCACTTAAACAGAGCTCCCTTTACAAGATTAGTGATTTTAGTTCAACAGAAATGGTTTGGGCAATTTATAAAGTAAACAAAGGTAGCTGCAAGTTGTGGTCCCAGATAATTGCTTGAAATATATATATTTAAATACCCAAAATGTGTATTTTTCTTGTAAGGTTCAAACCAGCTTTAACCAGAATAAGATGGAAAAGTACCTTTTCATTTTTCATAAAATATATTTTTATTTAAAACTTCTGCCAAATATAAAAAAAAGGGGACAAGACTAACCAAGTTTCAAACAAATGCACAGCATCTTTGAAAGTCTAATGCTCAGGTCTCTGATCAAGTATAAATAGTCTCTTCTTCGGCTCCATCATTTAATCCAGCATGTGTACAAAACATACACGGGTGTGCACCGCTCTGTAAAAAACAAAAACAAAACAAAACCCAGCTTCAGCTCTTCCCTGAGATATAGTCTTTGAGGGTGTTCAGGTTGCTTTAATCCTTCGCTCTTCAGTCAGCGCCTCATTCGCAGCGGACCCAGCCCTCGCATTTTCAAACACTCCTTTCCATCTTTAATCTGGAAAAGAGCAAAACAAAYCTCAGTAATTTTATCACAACATTGAATTTACCTGTGGTAGACATTACATTTTTTTATAACTTTATAATTTTATCACATTTTGACATAAAAAAATAAGAAATTAAGAGACTAGGCACACTTAACTATTGCTTGTTAAAGTCAAAATTATCACTGGTATGAAAATAAATGAGGGGTTAATGATAACAGAAAGAGCCTACTGTTTTCTCTTTTGACAATGGCAAAATATGCAGATGCCAATCACTTTTCTTACATTTAATTACATTTTTAGAGATCATCTGAGTCCTCACTTCGTTTTTAATGGGCCACAGCAATGCTGAACACAAAAACAGCCATGCCTGAGGAATTTAAAGCGCCTGTCTCGTGCGTAAAAACGTCCTTTTTACGCACAATCCAACATCAGATAATACTAATATTAAAAGGGCTCAAATTCAAACACAAACACACATCAGATACAGACTTATTCAAATTAAACTTTCAAGAGCAACAAGTTGAGTTGCGCTCAGTTTTAGGAGTTTATGTCATGTTTTAAGCAGTTGAAACGTCGGATAAAGCCAGTGTTTACCCCTCTTCTCTGGTTGCTCAGACAGAAGGTGCAGATGCTCCGCGGCTGCTTCCCCCCGCTTTCCCCCTGCGCGTGCACCGGGCCGAGGCACGGCTGTCCGTCGGCGCCGCCGTCTCCAATCAGGAGCACGTTGGCCAGGTGGGAGATGTAGCTGGAGGCGAGCCGCAGCGTTTCGATCTTGGACAGCCTCCTGTCCACGGGCTCGGTGGGGATGAGAGTCCGGAGAGCCGTGAAGGCGGTGTTGACGCTCTGCGTCCTGCCTCTCTCCCTGGCGTTGGCCGCGCTCCTCTGCTTCATCACCACCGCAGTGTCCCCCGGCTCCGGCTTGTGGGAGATCCGCCTGCGTTTCTCCGAGGAGCCGCAGTAGCTCTGCTCCGAGCCGCCGTCGCTCTCGCTGCGGTTCTCGTCGTCCTCCTCCGAGGTGACGGTGAAGTCCGAGTAGATCAGGTGCGTGGCCACGGGCCGCAGCATGGCGAAAGTCATGACTCAAAACGCTTCACTGAAGTCAGTCTGCGATCAACAGCCAAGAAAAAACGTGTCCGCTACGTCTCCATGTGGCGCAAAGTGTCCAACCACCTGCGGTTAAAAAGCTGTCTGAGTTTTCATGAGTCGGTTTGCGGTGAAGAGAACAGACCCAGACCTCAGGTCAGCTTCTTATAGCTGGATGGGAGGAGCTGCCTGCAAAACACAGTAACCTCCAGAAAGACTACAACAAATGTTCAAATGGTTCAAAAACACAGAAGCTTTCTGCACAAAACTTCTGTAAGACAAAGCCAGAAACAATGGATTTTTATCTATTGACATTGATCCAACATTTTCCTGTTGTTTATAACATCAAATCAACTTTATAATAAAAAACATTTAAAACAACCAGAGTGAGCAAAAGGGCTGTACAGTGAGCAGCCATAAAAACATTAGAATAAAACATATAAAAAAGAAAAAAAAACTACAATAATGCAAGTTTTTCTTAATCATAGTGAGTTAAACTTAAAGTTTGTGACCAAACACTTTCCTCTATAGTTACAGAAAAAAAATCTGAATCATGCAAAAACACTTTGCAAGCCGAGACCTTTAAAATAAACCTATATCTGTACATTTAAAAGTTATGGGTTTTTAAAAGGCATTTAGGGACCAAACTTTGTTTTCTTGTCATTTTACAGTCTCTATATTTTCTTAACCTGAAATATTTATTGTTCTGCCCCCTGCTGTGGTCTGCTTTGGTAAACCGAGATGAAAGGGAAATAGTCTTTTATGTAAATACTCTCTTTACAGACAATAACTTTATTACTGGAAGAGAAAGAAAATGAAAAAGGGATTGTTAAAAGACAAAATCTTTCTTTTATGTCCCACATTGTCCCCCTCGGTGAGGGCCGCAGCTCAGGCAGCAGGAGAAAGTTAAGTGTGAGTAAATAAACAGTGAACAGATGATCCTGGCATGACAGGGATTTATTTGCTCGCTGCCCGGAGTTCAGAAAAACAAAGTGGTGGCAAATGGATGATTTAGGCCCTTTAAGAAGTCACATCAGTGGACCCAGACTGCAGCCTCTTCAACGTGTCTCAGCTGCATCAACAGTCAGGGATCAGACCTGGAAGGGATCAAACCCAGGCCACAAGAACTCCGTCCGCATTAAGATCTCATGTTTAATGATCCTAGATTTAATTCCACGTGATGTCTGATCATTGAACAGTAACCACATAAATACATCTACTCAACTATTAGGTGGCAGATTAGGCTGCAAGTCGCAGCTAATTACACATCATGAACTCTTGCTGAGACTTTAATGGCCGTCTTTGCGGCTGTGGACTAAAAACGTGCTCCAAGCAATCCACAAATGGAGCCATGAAAGGGAAGGTCTGTTTGTGATGAGCCAAAAGCATGTTGGGTTTACCACCTGCTGAGGTCCACGTTGTTGGGCTTCAGAGGTCTGAGAAAACACCCTCAGACTCACCCGCAGACTTGTACGGATGTGTTTAAATAACAAAATGATTAGTGCACTGTGATCTGCACAGAACTGTTAAAGAACCAGGTGATTTTCTTCGTGCCGCAGTGAGGTTAAACTCTGTGGTGTTAAATGTCTTTACACTGAGCTGAATCTCTTTTCATTTAGCTTTAACTAAATGTTACAGATACTGGCAGCTCACAGTTATTCACAACACATACTATGAGTGCTAAAAGTCATGTGATAAAGCACAATACTGCTGGAGATGGCTCACAATCTTTTCAAGGTTTGACCAGAACCGTTCTGTCATTTCTCAGCCTGACATGACTTCAGAGTAAAGCTCTAGGATGAAGGGTGATGTGATATTCTTTCAAAGAATGCTAGACCTTTCATTTTTTTTCTGTTGTTTGATGACTCTGACCCTTTCAAACACCCCCACCCCACATCCCACCGCACCCAACACACCCACACACATTTGTTTCTATCCTTATTGGGACCGTTCATTGACTTCCATTCATTTCCAGTCATTTCTAGCCTAACTCTGACCCATTACCCTAAACCTAACCCCCAGCCCAAACATGGAGCTCCCCTCGCTCCAGTCTTTGGTCCCCATAAGGACTACTGGTCTTGACAAGGTAACAACACACTGAATTTGAACACTGCCTCTGTAAAAGAGAGGTTTTTTATATATCATCCAGAAAAAATATTGAGCTCAGTGATAAAGATGATGAAGTTTTTGCAGTCCTAAATGTGAAAGTGCTTTAAGTTTTATTGGTCAAATAAAATATGAACAAATGTTTCTGACTTCTTTGTTTCTGTCTTTCTCTGAGTTGCTTTGTGCCACTGGCAGAAACATTTTTATCAGAGCTTCATTGTTTCTCATGAAATCACTTTTTAATAGACTTTCTGGTGCTCTGAGAAAAGACTGAATTTTATTTAATTTTACTTCACTTTTTCTTTTCCTTTTCTTTTCCTTTTTGTTTTAGATGACCACCAAACAAGACACACCTGTCATTTATTGTTAGAGATGTGCCATGACATAACTGTGTTGAAGTCTATAATTAAGATTTTAACATTTAAATGTTGCAGATCTCCAAATCTCCAAAGTTTTTCATTTTGTAAAAGTCTATAACAATATGTTTAGGTTTGTTTATTTCATTTACTCATCTTTATTTAAAAGGAGGCAGAAAGAAGAAAAAATCTTATAATATCTGCCCCTTTTTTTTCAAAAATTTATTTCAAGCAATAATAATCAAGAAACAAAACAAAAGCATCAATTCCTTCTCAAACAACACTTTTGGATATACATTATACAATTTCAGATTTC